ATAAATTTAAAATAAAAAATAATAATTATTTTGAAACTAATAAAGTACTATAAAAATATCTTTTACAACTTTCTGTGCCCTCCTTTTAAAAATTACAGCTATTAGTAATCTCTATTTTATTATGGATTCGGGAATGTCTCTCAACTGCAAGGATTTCAGTGTTAATAAATGGAAATCCGACGTAGGAATTCTCTGTATCCAAAGGCCTTCGTCAAGGTGATCCTTTGTCCCATTTTCTGTTTTTATTGGTGGGAGAAGGTTTGTGTGGGCTAGTCAAAAAAGCTGAGTGTGAAGGGCTTTTGAGAGGGGTGGAGATTGGAAGAGGAGGGGTGGTGTTGTCGCTATTACAATTTGCAGATGACACAGTTTTCATAGGGATGGCTGATGCAGAAAATGTTAGAGTTGTGAAAGCTATCTTGCTTTGGTTTGAATTGATCTTTGGATTAAAGATAAATTTTAGCAAGAGTCATTTGTATGGGTTTAATATTTCGGATGGTTGGTTACAAGGTGCTGCAAACATGTTATACTGTGGGGTGTGCAAGGTGCCTTTTATTGACTTGGGTCTACCAGTAGGAGGAAATCTGGGGAGGAAAAAGTTTTGGAAGTCGGTGCTAGATCGGTTTCATCAGAAGCTTGCCACTTGGAAAAGCCCACTACTGTCCTTTGGAGGCTGGATTACCTTAATAAACTCGGTACTCTCTGCTATCCCTATTTTTTTATTTTTCTTTATTTAAGATTCTTAAAGGTGTTTTTGTTGAGTTGATTAAAATTCAGCGGAATTTTTTTTGGGGAGGAGCGAGTTTGGCTAAAAAAATTCCATGGGTTAGTTGGGAGTGTATGTGTGTGGAGAAGGGGAAGGGGGGGTTTAGGAGTGGTTAATTTAGAGAGAAAGAATGATGCTTTGTTGGGGAAATGGTGGTTTCAATTAGGAGATGGTTTAGATAGCTTGTGGAAGAGGGTGATTTGGGGAAAATATTATGGGCGTAGGAGGGAGAGGGATGCTACTTCCGTTGAGTGTTTGAATATGTCTCAGATATGGAAGGATATTATGAGTTTGGGTAGTAGATCAGAACGATTATTGAAGATGTTAATAAGGGGTTTTAAGTGGGAAGTTGGGGATGGAAGTTGTGTGGATTTTTGGAGTGACAAATGGGTGGGGGATAAGTCTTTGAAGGAGTTATATCCTAGGTTGTTTGTGTTGGCTATAAGGACGGAAGGAATACTTAAGGATATGGGTGTTTGGTGTGGAGTAAATTGGGTTTGGGATTGTAGGTGGAGATGTGGATGTAGAGGGAGGGCAGTAGAAGAGGAAGAACATTTTCGGGCAATGATCAATGGATTTAAGTTAAGGATAGATAGGGAGGATTCTTGGAAATGGGTGCATAGTAGTGATGGTTGTTATTCGGTGAAGGCAGCATATGAGTTTCTAACACCAAATTCTAGTTTTTTTGAAGAGAAATGGGCTAAGGTGATTTGGAATAGATATGTTCCTTCTAAAGTAAATGTTTTTGGGTGGAGAATGTTTTTGAATAGGTTAGCGACTATAGACAATTTGTGTAAGAGAGGAATTGTGTTGTCAGGGAGCGATATGGGGTGCGTGTTCTATCATGAGGGGGTGGAGCAACTTCATCATATTTTATGTGGGTGTAAAAGGGTATGGTTAGTATGGATGAAGGTTTTGGGGTGGTGGGAGATTTAGAGTGTTTTACCAAATGATATGTTTAGTTTGGTGGAGTTAGTGGTATTTGGTATAAGTGGAGGAGTTTTGAAGGATTTAGGGGCTCTCATGTTTCTAGTTACGGCTTGGTTTATTTGGTATTTGAGGAATATGTATGTGTTTAGGACAGAGGTGATGTTTGAAGAGCAATTATTTGAGTCTATTCAAACAAAATCTTTTTTATGACTCAAAAACAAGGAACCAGGGTGTGTGTTTTCGTATACGGATTGGATGTTAAGGCCAAGGGAGTGCAGGGAGGCTATTGTGCAACATCGCAAGAATCTAAAGAGTGCTAAGAAATTGCAACGGGAAGCAATCTGGAAGAGTGCTGATCAGGACAGGTAAAGCTCGTGCAATGTGTGTTTTGGTGGTTTTTTACTGTTGGTTTTTGGGTGCTGGAAGCTTGACTAAGCTGCAGATGCAATTGTATGCTGTTTTTATGCTTCTTTGTTTCGGTTCTACTATGTTTACATGATGGCTCTATTTGATGTTTTAAAATTTTGTGATATAGTGCATCTTTGATTAGTATAAATGGGCAAGAGTACCCCTTGTGCTCTATATAATAAAATTTGTTTTTGCTGATCCAAAAAAAAAAAGTAATCTCTATTTTATTCTATTAATAAAATCTCTTGATTTACCATTCAAATAAATTTATAAAGTTGAATGTCACCAACCAAAAAAAAAAAAATTCTAAACTTCAATGTTACTGCCATGAATTATAAGTAATAGAATGAGAAGAACCCCAAATAAAGCTTAAATTATGGAAACTAGTCATAATAATAGTAGGACCTAAAGCCAAAGGCAGGGAAGCCTGCTGTAGAGTTCTAAGGACTTTAAGGCTTGAGGAGTGAGGACCGAGGACCAAGCTGAGACACAGCCCCAACAAACCATCTTTAAGTTCTCACCCTACATATCACGCAACCGAAATAGTTATGAATTTCCTCGCTAGAACTTCACATGCCGCACCCACTATTCTTCGCACACCCGTCTAGCTAGGTCCACCCCCTATTTTATTTTATTTTGTTTTTTCAACAATGAGAAGATCAAAGTTGGAGTACTAATATATAGTCAAGATTCGAATTCTAATCATTGCTAGAGTTACATAATTTGTTTGAATTAATTTTTTTGAAATATTTAATAATTAATAATAATATTTAATGACTAATAATTATTAATATTTATAATTTAAAATGTTTAATTAAAATCGATAACTAATAATTATTTTTAAAAAAAATTAAAACAAATATCCTTAAATATGCTAATAAAGAATGAAATGATTTCGAGTAAACATGAAGCCCATTAGGTACCATGTCGAATCAGTCTGCAATCCACACCCACAGACTAATGAATCAGCTGCTCACCCCAAAACCAGCACCAAAACTTTCATCCGCCATCGACAGAAAACAACTTCCCAGCACTGTTGTCATCATGTCCTCAACAGCCAACCATATATTCTAGATCCCACCCAATGAAACAATAGACCCTTAAAAACATATATATATTTATTTGTTTTTTCGGGACAATTTTCAAACATTTCAAATTCAAATTAACTGCCCTTTCCCTTTCGGATTTTTAAAACACAACTTCCCTTGTAATTTCCAAATGATTAAAATAATGTTCCGTCACAAATAACACAATGGAAGAAGAAGTCAAGAAGCTTCAAGTTTGTCGTTGCTTAAAAAAGTTATGACGAACATAAAAAAAAAGAGAAAGTTTTGACACGGGGAAAAACTATAAATATTAATTTACAAACTATTATATTAACCATTAATTACTCCCACAGCATGTATATATTAGTTGATTTATTTTAATTTTTTTAATTTTCTAGATATAAAATTTAAATAAATTTAAATAATTTATGAAAATAATAATTAAAATTATTTTTCTTTTTACATGTAGTTTTTATTTTTTAATATAAATTTATGATAAAAATATATTTATTATATTTTCAACTTGTATTGTATGTTAAAATAAACCCTAAATAGTATATCAACATTAAGAAAATGAGCGTCTAACTATGACGTCTATTTAGGCCATTATTTGTTCGGTCTACCTTTGTTTGGTAAGGTATCGAAGGTTGGGTAGCTGGTAGTAAGCATATATAGTTTGACATTTGGATTTGTTAAATGTTTAAATGTTTGTGAACTTGTGTTGTTGACTTGTTGCTAGGAAATTTATGCTCTGCCCTCTGCACTTCACCTAACTAAGATCTTGGAATAACTAGTTTGAGAAAGTTCCCATATATAGTTATATATCACATGCAAATAGAAAAAGCGATTATTTTTTTTAGTAATAAATCTGATACAACCATATGACAGCAATTGCATTAAAATGCTATTATGAGATACATTATCCCCTCAAAATAAAGTTATGTAATACTTTGTTATGAGGTAAAATCGTGTATATTAAAAGTGTTTTGTAATTTTGTAGTTCGCTTTTGTATATTATATATATTTTACAATTATATATAGAGGATTTTTAATTTATATTTTTAAAAGGTAGAAGTTAAAAGGCGTAATTAATATATATTTTTATAATTAATTTGTATGAAAAGCATAACTGTTGATTTGAATTAATCAATTAAAATATTTATATGTCAATATATTAAAATAAATATTAATTTTATAATTTTTTTATATAAATTAATTATAAAAAATACATTTAATTTGTACAAAAAAAACTTAATATATAAATGAAAGAAAAATCATCTTAACATCAGAGAGATCACCTTTCACCAATAATTAGATGTGCAATCCATGATTTCTGATATTAAGATCCGTTCAAAATATTTTGGTTTGCTTGCAAAATTCTTAGGTGCATCTTAGATAATCCTAATAAAGTTGCACCCTAGGGAAAATGGGTCGAGGCGGGGACATACATTGGTAAATGCATCGAGCACAGGCAGTGCAGGGGCAGCATGAAACAGAGGAAGGCAGGCCAATGATGAGGTCTGACTGGAGTGGATATTGGGAGGTAGCTGTACGTACCAGCTGTACTACTTCATTTTTACCCTTTACTCAATGAATTGGAAATTGCTCCCCACCAGAATCCAGGTTACGTATTTTAGCTTCAGATGTGTCATTGTCAGAACTAAGAATTTTTTGAGGGGCGTGGCCGTCATGGAACCCAGCTTCATCAGTTCATCCCTTTTTGTAGTTCATACTCACTACTCAGTACACACGCTCCTATCCTATGCATGGTTACTTATTGCCACAATATATTGTTTTTATTATGATTATTATAGTTATGAACATAACCATGCCCATCCCCCTGCTCACCCTCTTTCTCTCATTAGATATGGAAAAGGTTAACATTTTATTTTGATACCTTTATTTTAATAAAATTTTTAAAATTTTTTTATTTAAAAAATTTTCTTTTTAGTCTCTAAAATTAAATGTTAATTCATTGTTAGTTCAATTCTTATTTTTTACACATATGACACGTTAAATAATAAAATTTTTAAAATCAAGGACCAAAAAAGAGCTTCCTTTTATTTAGAAAAAAAAAAAAGAAAACCATTTCAGTCCCTTTACTTAATAAACTTCCCTTTTTATCCCTATACTTTAAAAGTTTCTCTACTTTTAAAAAACTCCCTTTTTTTTGTCTTTGTACTTTAAAAAAGGTTTTTTTTTAAATTTTTCTATTTTGAAATTTTTATTAAA